AAAAAAAAAACACACAGAAAAACGAGAAAAAGAAATCGAACGGAGATAGGGGTGCTAATAAGGACCAAAATAGCAAAAAAGGAAACACAACAAGCCCGGCCGCACGAAATAGGTAACCATGTCCACAGGCAGCGTCGTTTCAACCGTCATTTTCTTCCTCCTCACCTTGGCGGCGACGATACTCATCTTTAGGCACTACACAAGGATATCGGCCAAGTCTATGCCGCTACTCTGTCGCGTGTTCATTATCATCGCTCTGTGTTCCGCCATCGTGCCGTTCCCACTCCTTGTGGTAGACATCAACGCGGCCCTCGACGCCAAGGCGGACCCAGACATGCCGAAGGAAACGTGGCTTATCGGCTTGTGGTACGCCATCGTGGCGGCGACGTACATCATGGGCTGGGCAGTGCTGCCAGTGTCACAGGCGTACACGGAGGTAGGGCAGTTCACTCCGAAGCGCAAGATCACGCAGGCCATCAAGATGAACGCGAGATTCTATGCCATATCCATCGTTGTGTTCGTTGTGTTCTTTGCCTATATAGCCTTCCTGAAGGGGGCCTATGGTTCCTTAGCCAACATACTGAAGCTTGCGATATCTTTGGCGAACGCTTGGGGTCTCTTCCTGCTGGTAGTGTTCATGTCGGCGGGTCTCGTGGGCGTGCCTAAGATGTTGTGGCGTAGCGCCGACGCGGTGCGACTGCTGCGCCGCTTGTACTTTAGTGCCGTCGACATCCAGGAAGACCTCGACATCGCTGCCATGGACCTCGCAGAGGTCAAGGCAGAACTCATGACGATTGACCCTCTTATTGCGGAGGAGCACAAACCGTACTGGACGCACATGATGGAGGAGATCGCCAACGCGGACCGCGACATTCCGCAGTATCACTCCGCTAGTGCGCGGGTGAAGCCGATAACCAGCGGCAACAACACTGATGTCTCGCTGAAGCACTTAGAAGATTTGCACAAACGTGTCAAGTATTCCATCAAGATTGCACAGCGCATGAACTACCGATGGGACTCGACGATTCGCAGATCGCATGCGTACGATGAGTTGCTGCGCGGGGTGAAGTCGACCAATAACCCGATAAAAAAGGTTTGGTTTCGTATACGCGGTGCCGTGTACAGAGTTGGCGCAGTCTGTACTGGCATTCTCACCCTCCTAGTGCTCTGGAGCGAACTCGTGCTGCCATTTCAGCCACTAACAACGAAACGTCTTTCCGTTATAGAACTTGCGATGGGCAGTAAGTTTGAGCTCGTCTGGTCAATGGTGTTCATGTTTTACATGGCCTATTGCTCTTACTGGGCTATTCTGCAGTTTAAAGTATTTGACATGTATGTCATACTGCCAAGTATATCTGACAACGCATCTCTGTGTTTCAGTGCGACTTTCTTGACACGACTTATTATGCCGTTGTGTTTTAACTATTTGCTAATGGCGGGCCTTGCAAGGGATGCAGCAGACGTGATGTATGGACACGTTTACCGCCGAAACATGGACGTCAGTCTGGTCCTCGGTTCATGGCTTAACCACTTCATCCCTATGTTTATTCCATTTATGTCGGCACTGGTGCTGGCAAAAATAGTGGACCGTCTCCTTATTCTGGTCGGTATTGAGGTTCACAGCCCAGATGATGTAATGAACAACGCCGTGCGCCAGCGAATCGAGGACGGCCACCGGCTCATGTCACACGCCCTCGGGCATCCCCTAACGGCTTTAGACCTCAACAGTTTGGGCGTTGTGGGAGACGGGGGTATGTCTTCAAATGAGGTGAATGCCGCTGCTGCTGCAGCAGCGGCTGAGCGGTCACGACCAAAACAGCGTGGGGAGCGCTACAGGGAATATTTGGCGAGAAGAAATGACGCAAATGAAAGAGAGCTTGTTTGAGTGTTTGCTTTTTTCCCCTTTTCACACACGTTTTCTCTCTCTCTCTCTCTCTCTCTCTCCCCCCTCCTTCGTGTGTGTTTGTTGCTGGAAATTCACGAGCGCTTGCGTGTCAGTATGTTTGCGGAGGTGAGCACTTCTGATGGGTCGTCGGTGCTGCTCTGTCGTCTGTGGATTGGCCAGCGCAGGCCGGTTCACCTGGTTGCAACTAAAGTGCGGTGCTATGAACAATTGCGGATGTCTTCTCATCTGTGTCTTCTTCCTCTGTATCTGCTCACTCACTCTCTCTCTCTCTCTTTCTTCCCCCCCCCTCCGCAGAGCACAGGGCCCCAGGAGTGTAGCCTGTCCATTCCATGGCAGAGTATCTTCTGGACACCACGCCGCGCATGGCGTACGTGGACCGTCACGAATTGCTGCGGTCGCTGCTCACAGAGAAGGACTTCATTATGCGGCGGCAGGAGCAGCTCAACAAGAGCACGACGGTGTACGTTGGAAACCTTTCCTTCTACACCACTGAGGAGCAGATTTGGGAGCATTTTACACCCTGCGGACACGTGCGGGATGTCGTCATGGGCCTCAGCGAGATCACGCGGACACCGTGCGGGTTTTGTTTCGTTGTATTCGAGCAGCAGTGTGCGGCGATAAGCGCCGTGAGTGAGTTGCACGGGACGCTGCTGGACGACCGAAGCATTACGGTCTCGTGGGACGTCGGCTGTGATGCGTCTCGGCGGTGGGGTCGCGGCGCCCATGGCGGACAGGTGGTGGACGCTGTGCGGCAGAACCTGGATAGTGGGAGGGGCGGCCTGGGCGCATTGCGGCGCGACGAGCTTGGCGTGGCTGCTGCTGTTGCGGAGGAGCAGATCGTGCAGTACACCTGGGTGCCGCCTCGGCGCGGTCCGAAGCGTGATAGGACATAGCCGCAGCAGATCCTGCAGGAGTAGTGGCATCACACACCCGCATATATTTATATCCATATATGCTTTCTTGACTCCCTGACTGGCCAGGCAAGTCAACGCCGCTGATTTTCGTGTACTCCCTATCGTTTTCTCTCGTTCGTTGGTTTGCCTTTTTTCCCCCCGTTTGCAGTTAGGCAGCAGGCTGAGCCCCATGGCGGCGTGGTTGTGCTGGACCACTCTGGCGTTGCTGTTGCTGCTGGGATGGAGGTTTGTGCGTCTAGTGCGGGGACCGCCTGCCTCACACCAACGCGGTGCAGACGTCCCGCTCAACGTTTGCGTGGTGCTGGGCTCCGGTGGGCACACCAGCGAGATGATGCGGGCCATTCGGGCGCTGCCGCTAGATCTGTGGCGCGCGAATCGCCCCTTCTACGTCGTCTCAGCCACCGACACGCATTCTGCGGCCCTCGTAACGGAGTATGAGAACAACAAATTAAGACGCTTCTGCCGCCTTCACACCATCCCGCGCGCACGCGAGGTGGGCCAGAGCTACTTCCTATCCATCTTCACGACGCTGCGGGCGCTGTGGTACTCTGTCCTCCTTGTTGTGTCGGAGAAGCCAGAAGTGATCCTGGTGAACGGCCCTGGCGTGTGCGTGCCGGTTGTGGCGGCGGCACTCCTATTGGCGGTGGTGTCCCCCTCGTGGTACTACCGCCGCCCAGGTGTCGCCTTCATGGAGTCGTACACGTGCGTGAATCATTTGTCACTGTCTGCGAGGCTGTTGGCGCCATTCTGCGACGTTTGCGCAGTGCACTGGCGACCGCTCTACGAGGTCTGCCGTCGACAGCGGTGGACCCGTGACGGCTGCCTGTTCTACGTTGGTATCACCTCGAATGCAGCGGACACGGCGCAACGACAACGACAACAACAACAACAACAACAACAACAACAGCATACAGCAGCGTGCAGAGGTGATCTTGTAGCGCTGGTTACTGTGGGTTCCACCCAGTACAATGCCCTCATTGAGGCGGTGGACAGCGAGGAGGTGTGCAAGATGCTACAGAGACGCGGAGTAACTCGTTTGCTGGTTCAAACGGGTGCGTCCTCGCACAAGATGCAGGTGCGAAGTGCCCACGGGGTGACGCTTGAGGTGTTTGCATATCGCCCAAAGCTCGAAGAGGTGATAAAAGAGGCGGCTTTGGTTATTTCCCACGCCGGCGCAGGGACGATCCTTGAGGTGCTAGAGCACCAAAAGCCACTGATTGTGGTACCAAATAGGGCCCTCATGTCAGACCATCAACTCGAGCTGGCAGAGGCACTGGACGCAGACCGCTATCTGTTTTGCGTGCAGGTGCAGGACCTTCGCACAGCGCTCCAGACGCTCGACTTTGACGTACTGCGTGCGTTCCCAGGAACAAACACAGCCGCTCTGCGCGAGGCACTTGTGCCGCTGTTAGGTGCTTGGGGCTTACGACAGAGTGATCAGGGACCTCGGTAAATGGGCGACAGCGTTGTATACCCGCTGATATATCTGCATGTCTTCTCTCGTTGATCCTTGAATTAATGATTCTGACGGTCTGCGGAGGCGTGTTTTCGCCTTTGCCCCCCCCCTTTTTTTTCTCTCCCCGCACAGCTTGCTTCGCTCATCATTTTTTTGTTTTTGGTGTTTTCTTTTTATCCCTAATGCATCGTTGCAGTAACGCATAAAAAAAAAGAAGGGTAATTAATAAAAGGAGGCGTTTTAACGAGGGAAGAAAAAACGGATGTCATCGCAAGCGGTCGATCGCGCCGTCACACGTATTTTCGATTTAATAGATGGGGGCAAGCTGGGGTTGGCAGAAGGTGTGCTGGAGGAGACACTGCCAAAGTTTCCCGACAATCACGCGGTGCTGGCGGCGGAGGCCCTCTTGCTGTTGAAGCAAGGCCAGGCGGATAAAGCCAAGGAAAAGGCGGAGACACTGAGCCAGCAGGATGTGAAGGATGGGAAAGCTGTCAATGCCCTCATTCACGTTCTTCAGCAGTGTTGTAGCTGGGTTGCGTTGGCCCAGACGTACGAGCACATGAAAGAATATCAAAATGAGAAGGGCGTACTTGAGAATTTGGTGCAGACGTATGTGCGCATGGGTGATTATAATAAGGCGCACAAGACAGCGGTTCTGCTCCATCGCAAGTGGAACGATCCTCGCTACCAGGTGTGGATCGTGCAGGCGGGTCTGTCGCAAGTTCCAGCAGATGCATCAGACCATGTTCTGCTGAAAGTGTCCTCGCGACTTCTTGATAAGGCTGTCTTGGGAGAAAATGGCCTTATCACACCCTCCACCTCGAGGATGTATGTTGAGGTGCTTCACCAGCAGAAGCTATACAGCGAGGCACTGACGTTCCTCTACAGCGCCCGGGGGGCAGCAGTGGGCCTGCCGGAGGCCCGACTGGAACTCGTGGCGACCACAATGCAATGCAGCGGTGATTTGGCGAAGGCTAATGCGGTGGCAAAACACCTCTGGATGCGTCAGCCCGACAATTGGACATATGTGGAGCTGTATTTAAACTCGCTGTGCGAGTCCGATAGTATCGAGGGTGTGCTAGAGTTGGACGGTCCCAGTGAGGAAAAGCGTGCCTCCATTCCCCTGGGCGACGGCGACCACACGTTGGGAGATGCACTGCGTTTCTGCCGCACACTACAGGACACCGTTGCAGCAGCAGCGGCAGGAGAGGCACCGGGTGGGCGAATGTGCCGCGGTCCTTTTATGGCGGAGTTAGAGATCCTAGCACGCCAGCACGACACGGCTGCGCTAGAACTGGCGACTGTTTCCTATGCTCAACGCTTTTACCGTACCGCATGCTGTTTCTTAGATATTTCGACATATTTAAATGAAGCGTCTGCCGCGGCGATTTACTCATGGGCGATGGAAGAAAACGATGCACCGAAGGACGCGCTGCAGTACCACACGCGGAGGATTCTGGGGCTGCGTTGCCATGTGGCGCAGTGGGGTGCAAAGAAAGAGGAACAGCCTGACAATGCAGCGGTGGAGAGTCTTCTGCAGGTATGCCGCAGGGCATATGAGGAGGCCAGACCACTTTCCGCACGACTTGCGTGGAGCGAAGAGGGCCTCTGCGACGGTTACATCACTGTTTCGCTTAATGTGGCTCTGCATGTTTATCATGCAACGAAGGATGTGCAGTGGGCGGAGAAGGGTCTGGCGATGCTGGACGCGGTGGAGCGTAAGCCGAACAACCCTACGTGGCTTATTTACGCCGTTTGCTTTGCCCGTATCTTGGGCCTTGCTGACGTGGATGCGTCGCGCCAGCTGGCCTTTAAGAGTGTGCAACACGACACCATGTCCCACCNTGGCTACTGGCCGCTGGTGAGCGGATGCGCAGTGGAGGAGATGTGCCACTGGAACGAACTCGCGTGGGGTCACTACCACTCGCTGCAGAAGGACTGCAGTCTCCTTCGGTCAAAGGTGTTCGCACACACATCGTGGCCTGCCATGAAGGACGTCCAGGAGTATGAGCGGCGACAAATGAACTCGATTGCGAGGGTTATATGTGCTGTGCACCGTATTGTTGCGGCGCTGCGTGAGTGCCAGACACAGCGCAACGTGTTTGACCTTATGGAAAGAGAGGAAAGCGCCATGGTGGAGGCCTTCGAGATCCTTCAGACATCGCGGGTGCTGGAACTCTCAGACAATACAGACTGGACGGTAGCGCGGTCTGTGGTGCTCGGCAATATCCACGGGGAAAAGGTGCACACATTGACTGATTCCTTGGTTGAAATGCCCAGTATGGAGGAGCGTATTGAGCAAACACGCCGCTTGCTTGGCAGTCTCTTGTTGCTCCACGATGTCGCATTGCTGGAGGCGCATCGAATAAAAGTAGCGAATGCACCGAAGCCGTTGAAAAAGAAAAAAGGTAGGGCACAAGTGGAGCAACAGATTTCTTTTCCGAAACTCCTTTGTAAGGAGCAGGACGCTTCTTTGCCCACGTTACCCGCCATAAGCTCAATTGCGCCAGCTCTGCTTGATTTCGTGAAGACACATGATAATAGCGCTGCGCTGCCTCACACCGCGGCGCTGCACGACAGTTTGGAGACTCTCCTGACACCGCAGACGTCTCAGAGGTTTCTGTTTCCGGAGGCCTTTATCCTGACCGCTCTTCTGCAGGTAGGCTCGACGTCGAGGCTGCCCATTGTGGCGTGGGCACAAGATCTGCACATGGCCCTGAAGCAGATACATGAGTTTCAGGGTGTCATTGAGAGAGATGCGACAACTGGAGTGCTGGTGCAGAAGCTGCGGGAATTAAAGGCCTCACGCATGAGTAGACTGTTGGATGACTTGCTGCGTGATGTTCTCTCTGCGGCTCGCCGACGTTGAGAGCCTGAGGTTGGGGAAATATTTCCTCGAGGTGTGCGTGTGTGTGTGCGTATTCTGTCCGTGGCATGCGCGACCACAACCAGTAGGGTATTTGCTAGAGAGGCTTTTTGGCTTTGCTTCCCCTTGTCTTTCTTTGCATTGCTAAGGGCTTTTATCTTTTGTTAGTATGTCTGCAAAGGAGGATGGTGCGCAAACAAGTGGCCATGCAAGGGGATACTTGGCGGTAGCGAGTGATGAGCCGGTCACTGGCATCGTGATGGAAAATGAAGTGCCTCATCGACTAACTGCCTTCGATTTTCCCCGTGATTGGGAGCACGACCTTTGCGTTTGCTGCTCGGATTGCCAGTCGTGTGGGGAAGCGTGGTGCTGTTTCTACTGCCAGCTGTCTCGTCAATTCAACATGATCTACAAGAATAACCCCACGATTAACTGGCCCGTGGCTGCTTTGGCATGCGCAGGTGATCAATGCTTCATGGGCTTGGTGTCCATATTTATCCACTTTGTGGTACGCAACAAAGTGCGGAGACTCCTCAACATTAGTGGCGTAGACTTGAATGACGGCCTTGTAGTTTGCCTCTGTGGACCATGCGCCCTGCAACAGTCGTTAAAGGAGATGACAGGCTCTGGAATGTTCCCAGGAGCGTGTTGCTATGATATTCCTCATGCGGTGAGGATGCGGTAGGTGAATGGGTCATAAGTAAAATAGTGAAGTGGGAGAAAAAAAAGAGACTTATACACAGGGATTGCTCAATGGTTTCAACCCAGAGCTAAGTAGTAGAGTATGTTGCAAGGAACTGCTTATTGCGGATCTGCATCTTTTTCGTGCTTCTTTTCCTTGAATGTTTTTCGTTGGTATGCTTGCGTGTGTGCGAGAAACACAGCCCAGCAGCCTCAGTGGCATGCAACAAGATGCCTTTAACAACGACAATAAGACTGTCTTGCGCCTTGCGTGAAGTCTCTGCCCTTTGCGTTGTGCCCCTTCGCGACACTTCCTGTTGAAGTGCAGGACTGTTTCGCATTTTTTTTTTTTTNCTTCTCTCTTCTCAGCCTTCTCAATGATAGTGCCGGCCCCATGGGAGTCGTGCAGCGTGCGTGGGCTGCCTCAAGCCCCAAGTGGGGCTTTTAATGAGCTTTTCTGCGACGTTGTGCGCACCTACGCGGGCCATTCATGCAAGAGACTGCGACGCCTTCAAGAGGGTGGCATGGCACTGAGCAGCAGTCTTCTGGCGGGGTCGGCGTATCTGCATGATGCCCTGCATCCCGTCGTGCCGCCATGTCTGCTCCAAGCAGGGGCTGTTCCGGTGGCGGTGCCAATTGAGGATCTGCCTGCCATTGACTGCTGCGAGGACATCGCCGCCATCACGAAACTACGGGCCTACAGCTCCCGGTATAGTGAAAGCGTTGTAGAGCTCCTGGAAATCGTGAAGGAATTTTCTGGGCGGTGGGGACGCCTAAAAAACTGTGAACGGAAAAGACTTGATGAAGCACTTGCAAACGAAAGAAATCATCGCTTCCAGGAGGATGAACTTCGTGCATGCTTCAGCGATCTAAACTTTTCGGGGAAGGGACTGCGCCAGATAACGCCTGACGTGACCCGCTTTGTGAATCTCACCACGCTGGTTCTGAGCAACAACCCGCAGCTCACGTCCATCACGTACCTCCCGCCGGCCTGCTTGGTACTCGTGGCGTGCGGATGCTCGATCTGCGAGGTCTGCGCCTCCAACTCCCTGTCGTTTCTTGGGCTGGCATTCAACGCGGTGAAGAATCTGGACTTCCTCAGTGGTATGCCAGAGCTGCGTGTGCTGGACCTCACACGCAATGCTCTCTTCTCCATTGAGGCGACCGTAGAAGCGGTGCGGCAACACCGGCTGCTGGAGGACGTCACGTTCACTGGTTGCCCCATTGCACTGCTGGATGACTACAGCGAGCGCGTGGCAGTGGGGTGCCCGCGGTTGCAGCGGCTAGACCACGCACCGCTTGCGGCGCGCACCAAACCTGCGCCCGGCGCTGGGGGCCGGTGTGGTGACGACATTGGCATAGAGGCGGGGACTTCTGCTGTTGATCCTGCTACGGATGTGCCGGGTGTGGTGTTGCGTGTGGAGGTGGTGCGTCTGGAGGGTCTTGCTGCGCTGGCACACTCCCCGGTGCAGCGGGACGAACATACTTTGTCAAGTTTCTCGGAGGGGAAAGGTGCAAAGGCGAAGAAAAAGGCGAAGGCTGTTGTCATGGGGCCAGCGTACGAGTGGACGACGAGTGTAAAATTACACGGCTCCTGGGGTGGTGAGGGTGAAATTCTTGCCGTGACCTGCGACGGTATTCGCTTGCTGCCAGACGCGCTGGCAGCGGCGCAGCAGCACTTGAACAAAAAGAAATCGCAAGCGGCGCCCCTTCCTGTTGAGGATGCACGTCAGTTAAATCATGTGGTAGATGCGAGGTTGCCGCCAACCTCCGGGCTTTCAGAGACGCTCGCACAGCCGTTTAAGCTTGAGCTTGAGGTATACGATGAGATACGGTTTCCTAATGGCAACTGTGTCTTGTTGACCTGCGCTATTGGGTCCTTTCTTGCCGATGCATCAAGTCTCCTCTTGAGCACGGCCTCTTTGCCACGTCAAATCACCGTGCAGGAGTCTCTTATTCTCAGTGAGGCTGCGCTGAAAGAAAAGCGGATCCACGCACAAGAAATCCGCGAGCGGGTGGCGACCGCGCAGGAGAGTCTAGTGACGTTTACGGAGTCGTCAGAGCGCGTTCCCACCTTCTCCGCGACTCTTGGGGGCTCCTCACGACGGTCCAAGAAGTCTCTGGCGGCCACTGGACACAACAGCGCTGCCGAGCACTACTGGGTGGAAGTGAAGCGGCGAGAAGAAGAAGTGGCGGAGTTGGACCTTCTCGCTTGCATTGAACAAACGCGCGCGGAAGAGTTGCAACACGCAGCGCTCTCACTGACGTTGGAGTTTGCGCTTGGTTCCGCACCGAAAGTTGTGGAGGAGGAGCCACCAGCGCGCACCAAAGCCCCTCGTCGTCGGCAGGGGGACAGGGAGAGGCGCTAGGGCACCAGCAGTGGGATGTAAAGTAGCTCTTTGTGCATGTTTGTCTATATTGGGGCGCACTTGCCACGACGTGGGAGTGCCGCTCTGCCATTTCCGTGGAGCCGAACGGGGAGGGTGGGGCGCTTCGTCGCGTGCTCTCGTTTCTGCTCCCCTTGTTCAGCTTGTGAAATGGTGGCTGCTCCACACTTGTTTTCTGTTAATTTCTTTTTCGTTTTTCCTCCCTCCCCCCTTTTTTTTCTCTCTCTCTCTTTCCCGCTCTCCCCTTCTGTGTTTCCCCATTGTGTATCTTTCCGAGGTAAGATATTGCAGTGGGACAAGGCGGCGCAGAGCGCTGGTGAATGTGTGCAAAGGGTACAATGAAGGTGCGGGTTTCGGCGTTGCTGCTGCTTCTGCTGTGCTTCTGGGCGCAGCCATCTTTGGCGGAGCAGCAGACCAGCGCAGGTGCGGAGCCGGTAATTGTGCGTGTGTCTCCAATAGCGAACAAGTCCGTCACGAAGTGGTCTGTGGCTGACGTCGAGTACTGGATGAACCACACAGTGGGGTATGCGGAGTACAGTTTGTACGTGCGCAAACATCTCATCGACGGCCCGACGCTGCTGGGGATGGAGCCGCTCGACTTCGAGGAACACTTCCCTATTGAGAACGCAATCCACGTAATCAAGCTGGCGGCACACCTGAAGCTGGTGAAGGGACTATGCCTCTGCGCCGCGGTGGAGAGACGCGTGGTGGACTTCTGGTCGTACTTCAGGCAAGAGAACTTCCGCGTCTGGGTGGTAGGGCTAACCTCATTTTTTTTCCCGCGTGTGGGAATGCTGTACACACTCCTGTTCGACGGCGTGCTGTATCGGCTGCTCCTCGGGGTCACTGTGCCGCAGTCAACTGTGCTGGACGCTGCTGTTGCCGAGGGTGCGACAGCTGCGACAACAGTAACTGTGCCGTTCCTGCACACAGTACTTTTCCTACTTTGCCTGGTGGCCGCGCCAGATCTTTTCATGGCTTTTCAGTCCGCGCGCCTGGTAGCGTCGAACTACTTCATGGTGCCCTTCCTCGTGACGCACTTCCTTCTACAAGGGTACAACGAGTACTTCTACATTTCCCTCTTGTTTAATGGTGTCTCGTTCCTACCAGCCGCCTCACTAGACGAGAAGATTTGGGCCCTATATAGCTACACGCTGCTCATTCCCCCTGCCGCGCTGCTGTTGTACCCGATTTTACCATACCTGCTGCAGACCATCTGCATCTATCTGCTGCTGGTGCACGCCATGCTTATGGTCATTGGTGCCGTCTACTTGAATCTGGACGGGAAGCGAGAAACGGAGGCGCAGAAAAGCGGAAAGAAAGGTTGAAAGACCGCTTGAGGAACTCTCAAACACCGACTGGCACGTGATGCGCACTTCATTCGTAGGCATTGATATGTGGGTGGGGAAGTCTGGAAGGAAGAGAGGTGGGAAGTGGCCTCGAGGGCCCAGGGCCTGTTTTTTCGCCCTGGCCCTGTTGGCCCCCAACCTCCAGGAGAGGGGTGTGGATGGGGGAGGAAGCGTTTTGTGTGTGCGTCTGCGTCTGCGTCTGCGTCTGGGTCTGGGTCTGCATCTATGTACGATGCGGTGCCGTTGATTCTTTCTAGTTTCTTTTCCCATCACACGCGCGACTTCCCCCTTCTTTGACTTCCCCGTCTTGCTTGTTTAACAAAATAGAGAGGCACTGTACAAGCCACCAACAAAAAAATGAGTGGGGGCTTGGGTGAAGACGTACAACGCCGTCAGGCCCTGGACAGCCATCAGATCAATGCCGGGGAGCACAAAGGCGCACCATAACATCTGCTCACTGATACACATGCAAACTCAGAGAGAGCTATCTCTATGCTGATACTGTGTCTCTCCTACCTCTTTATTTGTTTTTCGCTTGAAAATTCCCAGCAGCAACAGCAGAAGATATGCCCTATGCGAAGTCTACTGTGTCCAGCCGACGGCGCGCACGCACACCCCTCGGGGACACGGAGGACGAGCACCGTTACGGCGTCACAATGTCCCCGTCCAACGACGCGTCGGCACCCGGAGCAAAGTCAGACCCTCTGCAGCGCCCCCACATGCGCAGCCGCGTCGACAGCGGTTTTCACCACGAGGCGAAAAAGGCCCGAAAGGAGGCCAACGCCGTCCACCCGCACGATGAGGAAGTGCGACTTTCACAGGAACTCACCACGCAGTGTGATGCGGTGATGCAGCGGGTGCATGCGCTCCTCGACCGCTCGCAGCAGCAGGAGGAGCGCATCAACCGCGCACTGCACGAGAGCCTGGAGGTGTCACCGCTGCGCCAGTCGAGCACGTCCCCGCGCAAGGCAGCCG